GGGGGGAGTGTTTTTTTTGTTTTTTGTTTTTGTTTTTTAATGTTTAAAAAGCTTAATAGGTTGGCATCAGCTGTAGACCGCAGAGACAGGCCGGGCTTTGGGGGGCATCGCATTTGCTGGCGGTTTACACGACTCACTCAGAACACAAGACAGAAAGCTACAGCCCACGGGAGCACAACCAGCTGCGAGCTGCAGATCCACGGGCGGTGTAAGGAAACACAAGGCCCTTCGGTCTAGACGAGCGGTGTAGGGAAACGCTTTACTCTGAACAAGTGACTTTCCTTTTGACGACACATGTACTGTATGTTACTGAGACTGAATGTCGGGGAAACCTTAGAGGAGAAGTACTTGGGATTCTAGTCAGTGGGCATCGGGGCACCTAGGATGCGTAGTCCTAAGGAGGGGAGACCAACCCATCTGGTGAGGCCGGGGTTTTGGAGCCCCAAAACGTTGCCCCGGCGACTGCAGTGGAAAAATGATTCACGTCCATTCCCAGAGACGAGTCAAATGTTTTCTTGATTCTGAAACTCCAGAAGGCATCAGGACGGCTGGCTCTGGTCACACCAGCTGATGGCAGAGTACCGAGGAGACCGCACTCGCGTGGCCTCAGGTTAGCTGGCAGGCGTCGCTTGACAGTGAAAGGAGACTGTGGGGCCGTGCTGGCTTTCCCTGGCCACACGGGCCGGCCATTTCACCCCAGATCCCCTCTCACGGCAGGCTCCTAAATCTTACCTGAGTTTTGCAAGCTCCTGGAAGGATCTAGGCCCCGCTCAGAACCCAACGAGGGGTGAGCTCATCAGGGCCCTGTATGTGTGGCTCAGAGGTCAGCCGGGCAGTCAGCGGGCCGGGAAGGCCATTTGGAAACGCTGCTATTGTTCAGCTAGCCAAATGGGCCAGGTCCTGTTGGAGGATTTCTTCCTCCCTCCCTCTCTTAGCTAGGTAATGAAGTTGTACTGGGGAAAATCAAGCGATACCTTTGCTAGATCTTTCGGGCACATCCGAGATGAAGGTTTGCTTGCGTAAACATCTGCCCATTGAGGACAGGGGAGGGATTACCTGCCCACCTCCTCTTAGTAATTCCCAAAGAATCCACGTCAGCTCCTTCTCTTTCTCTCAGTTCCCCAAGGAATGTTGGGGATCACCCCCCTCTGTGGTTATTCTTTCCCGAACCTCCTCCGTGGTTTACGTGCCTCTGGTACTCTGTGCAATAGTTTTGGCTGACGCTTGAGTCCATCATTAAGAAATCAGTGCAGGATGCAGATTTTCTACCGTCTCCCTCCACCCCAAACAAACCTGCCATGAGGTAGGATCCTAGGGATTTGGCTGTTCTTTCCACTGCTCAGAAAGCTTCCATTCTGTACCCCCAGCCTCGTCTCTCCTCTGTGCTGGAATTATCCCTCCCCACCCACCCATCCTCTCAAACTTTACAGCATTTCAGCTGCAGCCCCAAAGTAACTAAGCAAGCCTTCACATGAAGTAGAAAGTCCCATCTGTGTGCTGGTTCTGTTGATAACGTGGAAATCACAAACTCCAGGGGAGCAAAGGGGCTTTTCAACGTCTTTTGCTTTCAGAAACAGGGAATTTATATTCTAAGGCCTTGAATTGATTTTTTTTTTCCTCATAAAATAGTCTGATAAGCTAATTTTTAAAAAGAAATGCCATTAAGTATGTTGCATTGTGGTTTAAAATTACTAACAAGTTCTGGGAAAGAAAAATATTTGATTTTGAATCTTACATGTTTTTAAAAATTAGATTTGAATGGGCACAAAGTATGAGTATTTTGTTTCTTTAGGGAGGACATGTGGAAAGGGTTTGAGGGTCTGGGATGGGAGAAGTATTTTGCAGAGCTATCAATGTCCAAATAATTTTTAAAAAATAATAAAGGTATTTAAGCAGTGACTTTGTCCTATTTCTATTTTTTTTTTTTTTTTTTTT